ATTAAATTTTGAAGATTGAAAGGGTAAGCCGAGGTAGTAGTGTCATAATATTTTTCGTAAGTCAAGCTTGGTGATATGTGATAGGTGGAGAGATACGCTTTTCCTTAAATATACCTTCCAGCAATGGAGTTCTTGAAATGAGCAAGTACCTCCGTATACACATCGGAATTTACCCTTACCGTCAAAAGACACTGCTTTATATTAACCTGGAGAATCCATACATCTCAAATTATGACAGAACTCACTGAGTGTTTCAGGTAATCAGTAGTAAAAGCTTTTTGCTTGAAACATTAAAGACATCCTGACGACCGTGGGAAACCCAGAACATTAATTTATCGCAAAAGATATGTTGTTCCTGTCCTGAATACCTCAATGCACCCATCTATCCTTACACCTCTGACTCTTTTACTTGCAAGTAAGTAACGATTATTTCCCTCGAACACGTGATTAGAAATCAAGTTCACAGGGAGTCTGTGCAATGTGGTAGATGTGATATTCGTTTTTGAAGTCATACTTCTTATTGCGCGTTTGGAAAAAAGAATGAGGGTAAAGTTTACGTTGCGCGCGCACACCGTCACGAATGCGCGTGCACACCATTGTCTAATATTGTCACGTAGAAAGGGACGAGACGATTTTACCCAATACAAGGTTTATTTTGTCGTAGTATCTTACACGAGCAGCTTCACAACGGAAGACTAATCCAGCTGCAGTACTTTTATATCCACACCTGGTGGGGAGTGATAAAATGACCACCAGGGGAAGATTAACACAAATTAAATTTACAAACAAGCATCTGGGAGGCTCGAACCCGAGAATAACAGATAACGAAAGACATGATTAAAGTTTAACAAGTATCTGGGCGACTCGAACCCGAGCCGTCTGCATGATAGAGCAGTGCTCTAACCGTTCAGCCGCTCACAGCTTATCAGTTTGTGACAATACTAAGGTATCCGAACACGTTCGGAGTACTTTTTGACAAAATAACATATTTAAACATTATAAAGGCTTTTTAAGACTCAATAACAATAAATACTAATATTTATCCAACAATACTTAAAATAAACTGCCTAAATCTCACAAAAATCACAATTATAAGTTAAATTTTAGCAATATTTTAGAAAACTTCAAAGTAATTAGAGAAAAAAAATAATAAACTTATATTAGTAAAAGTATTACCAAAACAATCTAGATGCATTTATCTAGCGAATATACTAAAATTTAAATGTTTTAATAAAATTTGAAAATTTTAGAGCTGATTCAGTAAACATAAGAAAAATCACATTCTTTATGAGACCATTATTTAAATAACAAGCCCTAACTCAAAAAATATTCATACAGTAAGAAATACTGTAGTACATTCTCTAGAAAATAGCATAAATATCAGGTCCAAAAAGTTTTATAGAAATTCATTTGTAATATTTTGAGTAATCAGACTAGCCATGATAGATTTGGAACATTTTAAAAGCCCACTTCTGGTAGATCAAAGAACCACATCCGAATTTTCTAACTTAATAAAATTGATTGTAGCTTGGCCTCTAGGTAACGTAGAAATAAAAAAAAGTATATTTTTTAAGCAAAAAGATACCTCTTTTCAATTCAATAGAAAACAAAAATATCTGTCTTGACCGAATTTGGTCATTTTCAACGTGTTCGGATGCCTTCATGCCACATTTTTGGTGCTAGGGGACTGATATTTGGGGGATCGCAATAACTGTTGTTACAAACCATATCTGTTGGGACGCATCCCCTCCCCGGTGCATCCCCCCTCTACAGCCTTTTAGCCAATATCTCGGCACCCGAGCCTAACAGTCAATTCGGAGCCGGCTCATCCAATCCCTCTCTATCTGCTCTTCCAGTTATTATAACTTCATACTCATAGAACTATTTCTACCATAATTTTTAATAGTTTTAAACTTTTAAAATTTGTTTAAATTCTCAATATCTTGGCTCCTGTTCGAGTCTTGGACTTGAGATTTGAACTAACTGTTCCACTCGTCGAGACTCATCCAGTCATCTACATCAGTCCCATTGTGTTGGCATGGGGAAGGCTTAAGCACTAAAATATCATGCTTTCATGTTAACCCTATAGGGACTGGAAAAAATATCACCCTCTCCCTCCCACCTAAGGAATTGAACTTGGGACTTGTTTTTTGGAGGTCCGCCATATTTCCGTATTAGCGCGAGCTTTACGTCGAATCGGCACCCTCCGGTGCTCCCCCCATACAAGGCTTTGCCAGTAATAATTCGAATCCTATTCCACCTTGGTCATCTGCACTAGCTGGATTCGATTGTTTTCCGTATGAGCATCCTAGATATATTATTTTCAGGAACATAGCCCATTTCTTCACCTTTTATTTGACATTTTAAAACTACTTTTAAAGTTTTAACATTTTTTTAAAATCCCGCATAGCACCGAGGGTTTTTGAGCTTCGTTAATGAAACTCGAACCATAGGTTCTCCTTGTTAAGCTCTTTCATCTGTTATAATTCGTGTGTAGATAGTGGGCCTAGGAGGGCATTATCACTAAAATTAGAATCCCCATGTTATTCCTATGGGGTTCGATCTTTTGATAACGTCACGATATTACAGAGATAGAAGGATGGAACTTTGGGATCATCTACTACTCTATGTATCGTTGGGATGTACGTGACCATTTATGTCACAGTTGCCCCCTGGGGGAGTTAGTTTCGTTTTCCTTTCTCGAGCTAGAGCCGCCCCATTTGTAACAACAGACTCCGGACCAGTTCGAATGGATTTCTCCTGTTTCCTCACAACCAGGTCAAGTTTCGAGGTGCTGGGTATGCCCTGATTCTATTTTATTTAATTGTTTTAAGTTTTTTAATCATTTTAAAATGACCATAACTCGGGGGCTCTTCGGGTGGATGTCTTAATTTTCTCAGAAACAATTCTTCCCGTCGATACATTCAATATGAGGTCTCAGGTGTTACATTCGGTTCACCTCATCTCCAGATATAGTGTACCAACCCCCCCTTCCATGTTATTAGTCATATTATCCCTGTGTGGGGGTGTTTAAATTTACCTATTTCGTGATTGTCTCGGGTTTGGCTGGTCCGATTGACTTAAGGTTAGTATCATAGAACTCTGCTCGTGACTACATTTCGTCCTTGGCTCCAGCTTGCCCTGCTGAAGATTTTTAGAAAGATTTTAATGTTATTACGCCAAAAAAGTTTAACTTCTTACGTGCGCACATAAGTAAACACACACACACACTTTTTTATCTTCAAAACTTTCTACAGATGAACATCAGGTTCCGGAAAAAGCTTTGCCTCTCGTTACACTTCCTCATTCTTATTTATGGTTACATGACAAAAATCGCTTTTTAGAAAATTGTTTTTTAAATTTTCTCATTTTCAGAATAATTTCTTAAAATTTTACTCTCGGTATATTAAGAACAATTGTTTTTACCAAGCCTCTCATTGCGTGAAATAACAATTCTAGTTTTAATACTGTGTATCCTTAAATGTAATTTTTACCTCCGACTCTTAAATTGACTTTCAAAGACGTTCTACGATTGCAATATTTATGCAAATTTTATTTTCTACCCTGATCACTCATGATATTTAATAAATATTCTAACATATTGAATCACCTATGGGAATATTTTAGTTTTTAAATTTTCAAATTTCAAAAGATTTTCATAAAATCTACTTTTTAGGTACTTCTAAACAATATAACATACGTCAGTTTACGATAAACACTTGATACACATTTTCCCTTCATTAACGTTAGTTCATTCATTATCAGGATTTTTATACAACAATTAAATTGCCTTTCTGATTACCAAAGGAAATTTTTATTTGAAGTCCAGTATACCTCGACTTACGCTACCCCAACTTAACGCGAACCCGGATTTACGCGATTTCAAATCTCGTCGATTCGTCTTTTGTTTGAGTGTTTCGCATATCGATTACTCCCCTTCCTGCTTCAACCTATTCTGTTCAAACGTTTCGGGCGGAATTGATGCTTAGTTATAGAAATTTATTGTGTGTTATTTATTTCCCATCTACGGTGCATGCTTTTGTTATTATATTTTATAATTGTTATTTTATATTTGTTATATGCATTAATATCTAAGCACTTTTGAGTCAGAACTATGCCATCCATACGAAGTAGAACTAATACTTCTGTATAGTGTGGCACACAGAGAAAATTTTTCAAGGGGGGGAGGGGTTCAATGCCGAAAGTCCACCATTCTCGTATCAAGCTCCAATACGTTGCCCAACGTATTCTTTTTATTTTGTCAATTTTCGGGAACAAAAAAACAGGAAAAATAATTATTAATTAAATAATCAGCTTTAATTAATAAATATAATTATTAATGACAAAGACTTAATTAAATATTATATTCTATGTATAAATATCCTCTCAAGGCTGAACAAAACACTTTCTTGTTGAGCCAAAGGCTAAAAAATTGATGCAAAATGTTATCCAAATAAAGTGTTGAAACACATGATCAAAAGAATTAAGCGTCTTTACCCTCAAGGAAGCCTACTTTTTCACCTAGATTCTGTACCAAATCATACTGCAACATCATTTATAAAATGGCTGAAAGATTAAAAAAAGTGTGTGTGTACTTATGTATGCACGTAAGAAGTTAAACTTCTTTGGCGTAAAGAGATTAAAATCTTCCTAAAAATATTTAGCAGGACAATCTGGGCTAAGGACGAAAGGCAGTTACGAGCAGAGTTGAACAGAGAGAACCTTCAGTCAATCGGATCAGCCAAACCTGACATAATCAAGATTTAAATAAACTTAAACACCCCCGCACCGGAACAATTGGACCAATAACATGGGGAGGGGGTATCAGACTGTATCTGGAGATAAAGTGAATCGAATGTGACACCCGAGACCTCATATTGAATATCTCAGCGGGAAGAATCGTTCCTGAGAAAATTTAGACATCCGTCTGAAGAGCTTCCGAGTTATGGTCATTTTAAAATAATTAAAACATTTAAAACAATTAAATAAAATAGAAGAAGGTCACTAGCTCAGTGGTAGAGCATTTGACTGCAGTTCGAGAGGTCCCCGGTTCAAACCCGGGGTCCCCCTTCTGCAGCATGGACTCTCAGTTGGGAGATCATGGTTGCAGCTATCCCTGACGTTGCATCAAAGATAGGAGTGTCTTCAATGGAGTGATCAAGGATGAACCTGGACTTACGAATGGGGAGATTTTTCAGATGAATCCAGGTTCTGTTTATAGCCTCAAGATGATCTAATCCACATTTGACAGCATCGTGGTGAAGGCCCATTAGCATCCGTCATCGTCATACTGACCCATGACCTGGCAGTATGGTATAGGATACTATTGGATACACGTCTAGGTAATTTTTTGTTCGCATTGACGGCACTTTGAAAAGTGCACGTTACATTTCTGATCTGTTACGGCCCATGGCTCTACCCTTTATTTGAGCTCTGCGAAACCGTGAGTCTTAGTAGGATATTTCACGACCGCATGTTGCAGGTATTATACCGACCTTCTTTGATACGAAAAATGTTCTGCTGTTGCTCTGGCCTGCACGTTCACCAGATCTCTCACCAATAGAAAACATCTGTCCATGGTTGCGAAGTGACTGGCTGGTCACCATACGCCAGTCACTACGATTGATGAGTTGTGGCATCGTATTGAAGCTGCATGGCCTTCTGTACCTGTACATGCCATCCAATATCTGTTTGAATCAGTGCCCAGGCGTATAAAAGCTGTTATTACTGCCACAGGTGGTTCTTCTGTGTGCTGATTTCTCTGGATCTACGCACCCAGATTTCTTGACAATTTAATCACTTGTTATTTCTAGTATAATATATTTGTCTAATAAATATCATTTTGTTATATGCATTTTTTCCTGGTGTAGAAATTTTAATAGTCAGTAGTGTATATCAGATACATTGAACAAATATAGGTGGTTTTAGGGAATGCTGGCTGCCCTTAAAGCTATGTGTAACCCTACAGTCGCAGTTCCTAAGACTAGGAGTTTGCTATTATATTACTTTGTCAATTCCGCTTTAACTTATGCAATCTTGTTATATTTATGTTATTTAGCTTTAAGTTAGGTTTGGTACAAATTAATACATGATTATATATATATATATATATATATATATATATATATATATTATCTATGCATTGTTACTTCAAGGTTAAAGTCTAAATGCATAAATACATTTATCAAAAATATGGTCCTAAATGAAAAAAATAATCATCCATAACGGAATTTATTTATCAACTATAAGATGTTTAGGACCGATTATGAAACTGGTGTTTTGCTTCTTTATCTTAAAAAAAAGAATAGTACATATAAAATATATTTTGTAATACATCCATGATTTTTTAAAAGTAGCTGAAGAAATAATTAGAATAAGTTTTACACACTGTTACTGCTCTTACATATTAGAATTTTTACATATATTCTGAATATGCAAATGCATTAAACAGTAAAAAAAAGACAAAAAAAAAAAAAAAAAAAAGAATTCAAACGAGATTTTTATATACAATTTACTCAAAAAAAAGTGACGAATTCATATTAGCTTAATTTTAACAGTCATAGAACTAAATAGTGTAAAGAAAGAATATACATGACATTAAGTTTCAATTAAATTGTGTTATCATATTTACTTTGATACTTTTCATGGTAAATATGCTAACATAAATAAGTAGATAATATAAATAGATTATGTCTTAAAAATCATCTTTATAATCCGCACGGTCTTAATTTCTAAGTCCAATTATTTACGAGCACATAATTGGCTTAATACTGTATATAAATTTGAATGTGCATATACACTTGTTTGGGTTCTTATACAATTCCACACCATTGATCGAATTTTGTTTTAAAATTTCACTGAGAGCTTTGTTCATATTTCAGAAAAGCCATAAGTATTTTTCTGCCAAAAACATTTTATTTTTATTTATTTATTTATTTTTGAAAACCCACTTGTTTAAGGATTAGTTCATGTATATATGTGCAAAGTCGCCAGATCCTATAATATGTGGCCAATAAAGGAAAACCATTATCTTTCATGTTTAGAAAATGATTACTGTATTTGGCGATACTTTTTGATTTGTTAAAGTTTAAAAACGAATTTTGCGGAAATTGGCTATCAAGGAGAGTTTGAGAAGACGTAATATAAAAGCCCAACTTTCGAACTATTAGACCTGCAGACTTGAAATTTGAAAGTAGTTTTTTTTATTTATTCATTGGAGATTTCCGATGAGCGGGTTTTGCGAAAATCAACTTTCAAGGAAGTTTCTGGAGGAAAGGCGTTTTAGCCCCAATCTCACGCTTCTGATCTATTTGACATACCAACTTGAAACTTGGCAAATAAACGTGAGTAAAAATTCGCTAAGAATGGGTTTTAGAGAAATCAACACCAAATGTGTAGATCTGCAAGGCGCAAAACTTAAATACACTCTTTTGCAAAAACCTCGAAGTACCAAGAAGTTATCCGATTGAGATGAAATTTCTTAGGCTAAGACATCATGATTGAACATGCAAATGATCACATTTTCAAGGCCAATGAACATTAATTTCAGTCGTAAGGGGCATTTCTGTTGAGCAACTCGCAAAATATAAAATCGGTAATAGAGGCGGAATTTTTTTCATTTTTCGTCTTAGCCGTTGTGAGTTCCGTGACAAAAAAGAATGATACCTTCACGACGTTTTAAAAGACTTTATAAGCAACTAAATGACTTCAAACGTGGTCACATAGTAGGAATGCGTGAAGCTGGGTGGTCATATCAAGCAATAGATTGTTTCCTGCAACGTAGAGACACAGCTGTGCAAAGCAATGGTTGCTGCTAGGAACTTATTGGCAAAAGCAAGACTCTGGAAGACCAAGATATACAAATGCGAGGCAAGATCGCATGATTTTCCGACAGGCCCGAACTGCTCCAACGGTATTGTTGTATACCATTAAACGTACTACAGCCTCTTCTATCCCCCCTTGGTACCTCCACCATTTTACGGCACTTGGCCGAGGCGAGGTTATGATCAAGTGGCCTTTACATTTGCCTTTGACTCCACAACATCTACAAAATCATCTGGAGTGATGTCGTAGCCGATCACCAGGGTTCCTGTCAAACTGGCATCACATAGTGTTAAGCGATAAACCCCATTTTTCTCTTAAAACGTTTACTGTTGACCCTTGTCTTTGTATTTGGGGAGGCCAGATCAGCTGTCTCAATCATAATTTGCTTTACAAAAGCAAACAGTCATAATCACTGGTGCTACGGTGTGGGGTGCTATCTCATACGACATTAGGTCATCTCTAGTCATCCTCCATACACCTCTTACAGCTCAGCGATATGTTGATATCATCCTGCGCTGTTGTATTGCCCTTCATGGCACGTCATCCGGAGACCAGATTCCAACAAGATAATACCAGGCCCCACACCACTTAAGTATCTCTGGACTGCCTTTATGCCGCTAATTCTCTTCTATAGCCAGAAAGTTCACCAATCGAACATGCCTGGTACATGGTAGGGCACCAGATTCAGGCACCCCCAAAAATCGCAGATCTGGAGCAACAACTGGTGAATGCCTGGCAGAATGTATCGCAGGATGACGTTCGGAACCTCTACCTTTCTTTACTGAGGCATATACAAGCATGTATCGCCACCGGGGGAGGTTCCACCAATTAATAATTTGAGCATTCAAGCTGTAATAATCGCGACTCGTGGATGGGCCCTATGGCCTTGATTTTTTTTAAATCACTTTATTATTTGTGTGTGAGCTGCACAAATATTTAATTTAATTAAAAACAGCCACTTCCTTCATAATGCTTCGATTTTTTTTTACAAAAAAAAAGTGTGTATAATACATTTTAAAAATTCAATTTTTTAAAAAATACAGACGTAATGACTATAAAAATGTTTTGGGGGAATGATACTGGAAGCTTAATATAATAATAATCTTATGCTTATAAGCATATATACATCAAAATAACATATATGCAAGATTTACATATGCATAATAATTTTTAAAAAAATATTTATAGTCATACATTATAATGAAGCACTCAGTGAAATGAATAGATAATGGCTAGTTAAGTAACAGATTATATAATATAGGTCAAAAATCAGACATTTCCTTTTACCATTTTATTTCGCTAGCGTCGGAGGTAATGCCAGACGTAAGTTGTTGTTTTTTCTTAAAATGTAATTTTACGTCTGATTAAGTTAAAGATTTACATAATTAAATTTACTAACTTGTTTTAATTTTCTTGTGTTTTTAAACTAATGTTTTACACAAATCAGGACAAGGTTAAAGCTTACGTCTTTGAACTTTTGATTTTTCCTCCATGTAAATGTTCTTAAGATATGGTTGTTATTTGAATTAGATTAGTACTACATTAAATGGCTTTTAATTTTTCGAAGATTTTAATTGAATTACAAATTAAAATGCAAGAAGTTAAATGCTCTCTCTCTTTTCAGTAAGATTAATATTACGTTAAACTAACGTTAAATATTATTGATTATATGTTTTACCATGAGCTTATAAAGAGCTAACATATCTTTACTAATATTTCAATTTCCTAAGTTTCAAGTTAGGTTGGCTGAGACCATTAAGGTACTTTAGGTTGTGTAATATATGGCAGCTCACATTATGCAAAAAATTCATTGCTTTTTTTTATAAATTAGTATTTTGCACAAACACGTAATTGCTATTACAGGCTGTTGTGAGACAAAATTTTACAGCTATTGGTCTACAAAATATTTTGTATTAATTTTGTTTAGTTAGAAAAAGTTTCTAAAAAAGGAATGAAACACAGGCGGAACTTTTTACATGGCTTTTGAGAAGAGTACAGCATTTGTTTTACAATCTCCGTCTATCATAGAAATCCATTGTTGGTCACGGTATAAATTTAAAAAAAATGATTCAGAAGAGTGAGAAAATCTATGATAAAATTAGATCAATAAAACGTGAAACAAATATTTATATACATACAGATAAATCATTTTTAATATAAAAATAACAAACATTAGCTTAATTACAAAAAAAATGAATTTTTTAAGAGATTCTGTATTACATCAATTATGTGGTTACTTAAACCACTTCTATATG